AAAAAAAAATTGAGCATGAACGTTGACAATTTGGAAAGCATTGCAAATAATTTGATTTGTACTCTAGAAGCAGTAACACTCGCGGAATTACATCGAGCACTCGAAAATGCAATTCAGCTGAAAGCCTGAATAGCCCAAACTCCTGAAAAGCTTGTTGTGGAGTTGTACTCTTGATGTTCAAATTCAAATCAAATCAACTTCAAATTTAAATCAACTTGGTAAATAGCTGATACGCACCCTAATATACATGCATACATACGTGCTACGTATTCATGATTCAATGGCTGCGTTTCTTTATACATTCCGGATAATCCCATTTCACAGCGGGAATAAACAGAATGCTTTTGAAATATACGTTAACATATCATCAGGAACGTTCTAAAGAATAAGTAAACAAAAAAGTTTATTCCAAACGTTCAGAATGAATAAATAAATTCAGCCAATAATACAAGGTTAGATAATTATTGACAGCTGCGGTTTGACACTCCCTTACAAAAGGTTGCATTTACGGAGGACAGAGAAAGGGCAGAATGCAATCCCTTGTTTCGAAAATGGTAGTAGAAAAGTACGCAAAGTAGGCAATTAGTAGTGAAATTCCTTTCGTAAATTCTAATGTATTTGCAGGAAATCTGCCATTTTAAACGAAATGTTGAACGTAATATTGATATATCTACGTGAATTACGTAATTTATATGCTATTTAGCCGTATAAAAACTGCAAAATGACTCAAAATTTAAATAAGACTACTATAAGACTGATGTAAACATCCAATGCATATGTTTTCATCAGTTAAATATGCTTCATATGCATATACAAATAAAGATATTGCACAAAAGCTTATACTTTTATTTCACACCAAAGCTACACTGTTTCCATGTAAAATTGCAAAGAAGCAACACGGTGCCACTGCTAAGGGAGCGGTGCGAGAGAGACAACTGTCAGTTTATCGAACCTTGTATTATTGAATCATGGCCTTCAGCTTTGTCAAATATCTTAACGCGGTTACAACTTAATGCTAAAGCCACCAGATCACAGTATAGACAGTAACCACGATTGAGGGAATACAAAGGTTGCGCCGATCTCGGACCGCTATTCCCCTCTTAACGAATTTGACAGAATCGTTGTTTGCATGACGTCACACTGGTGCAACTTGTTTACGTTTTCCTTGCAACATTTTTTCTTCTTCTTCCATTCTTGCTCACGTTTTGGCATTTCTCTCTCGCAATTGCACCAGTGTGACGTCCCACAAAAGTTATTCTCAAAAATCCTCTCTGATCAGCGCAATCTTGTATTCTATCCATTGTGTACAAATACAAGTGAGATATCTTAGCAATAGACGTCATCCTGGGCCATAGCTGCGATCAAGGTGTATTAAACAAGGTGGTGTTGGGGCGACAGCTGAGTTTTTCGCCGTGGAGGCCATTACGTCAAAATGATGTGTTTGTTGTAACTCATACCAATGACAGTATGGACATCAGCGTATAATTTGTTAGTGTAATTTTTTACTTACATACGGCCAACACCACCTTGTTAAATACGCCTTGGCTGCGATTATCTGTTTTTTAGAGTTGCTTATTTTGGTCTAAAGTGCGATTTTTTGACCTGAGTTGCATTAAATAGTCTCTTAAAACTTGGTAGTATTAGTTGTTCAAATGGTAACATATATGCCCAAAAACTTGAAAAATATTAGTTATCGTCATGAAGCAACGATTACATGACGATTACACTTCTGCACACTTGGTCGTGATATTTCAATTCATTTGGCGTCTAAAAATTCACTTGGAGCAGGTATTTTCTGTTTTTTTTGGTTGATATTTTCGCGAAATATTTACAAAAACCTGCAATTTTTTAAATATAGACTGTGCTGCAACATTTCTAGACGTAATTTTCCAGTAATATCTCTTCTTTTCTTTTCCTGGAATGTGTTTTGTGTATGCACACAGAGACTTAATACAATTTCGTCATATTTTATAGTTAAAACGCTCATATTTATTAAATTTTAATGCAATTATCCACTTTTTAATAATTTCCACAGATTTTATGCAAAAAAATACTAATTTTTATACAATTTTAATGCAAATATTAACTTTTTCACTAATTTTCCCCCATAAAATGTAAACAAACAATGCGTGCACAACGATTAGCAAACGACAGTGCCGTACTTATCCGTTTCTGCATCTTCTACGATTTGCCGATAACTAGCCGATAACGACAAGTGTGCAGATCTCCTTTGAAATGCATGTGCTCGGCTCAAAATTTCAGGGCGAGACGATAACGCAACTATGATTGGACGACAAGTGTGCAGATAGCCTTTGAGTTTCCATTTCTTGGTAATTCGGTTTGTGAAATGGTAAACAAATTATTGAAATTTATTTATTTGATGTGTATAAGATTTCATTAATGCATTTTTTTGTATTTTCAGACTATTAATTACAAGCACAGCATCATCAACGGTGATTGCAAGAACTACTGCAATCCCTGCGGTTTTTCCTCTTGGTAAATGCGTTCTGGTCGTGACCAAGGGTGGTCTCCCAAATCGGCTGGGACTAAGGTTAGTCATTTTAAATTTTATATCTTTGTTCGTCGACATTATATGACATGTCATCATTGTAGGCTATTGTTGCAGAACATAACGCCGCAACCACTGCTGTGGTAAATATGTTCCAGCAGAGCTGCCCACCGCCGTCGGTGTAATGATTTCGATAGCTGAACAAACGCCATCTCCTGGGCATTCCCACAGCTTGCCGACACTAGCTATTATATGACGTGTGAATGCAACTGCGGCTTAATTTGGTTATTAACAGTACAATAGTACCATGTCATTGGCAAAAACACTAAGGGCTGCTGGCAAATATAGGTTGTAAAGTTTTTGGTATCGATGAACTTACTCGAAGAAGACGATGGCCGAAAACATATGATGAAACATCTTCTGGCATGCCTTTGACAATCGTTAAGTCAGACGGAGGCTTCACATACGATATTTCACACATGGCTGGAATTCGTTAACGGACAGAACACACATTTAAAAAATATTTATCGATTACGGAGGACAACCGAACTTCAGTTGGTTGGCCAGTGGCTGAAATGGTATTACCGATGGCAACTAGCAACTGAAAGCTGGCAACTAAGTTGCTATATTGGCAAGTGCGTTTTTGTGGTTGCCGGGAATTTTTGATTGAGATACTTTTTTCAACTTTTTTTTAAATTGTTCACCTTGAACTTTATGAAACTTAATTCTTGCTATTCATAATATAAAACACTTTCATTTCAGTGGCGCTGTCCATCGGCAACCCAACTGAGGTTCCGTTCCCATCCATAATCGATCCATAAGTCATAATCGCAAGAACTAATCAAGGCTATCATAGAATCCATCGTAGTCCGATTTTTCATGAAATCTACGAAAATGCTATTAAGGTCGAATAGCTACGAACGCAGCGCTTGCTTTGAATACACACGTTCATAGCAGTTCAGATTCAGTGATCGCTTTTTCGTAGATTTTAAGAAAAATTGGATTACGATGGATTCCGCCACCAATATGTTTTCTCCTTTGACAAGATGTTTGAGAATCGCGGCAGCACAGCCGTATACCTACTCTTTGCTCTTACGCGCATATGCTAAATTTCTCGCACCTAGCTAAAGTGCTTGACAAAGGCAGAAGGCATATCTTTAACATTATAACTTAAAGTAAAAAAGTTTAAGGCATGCAATAAAAGAATCAACAGAACCAAAAAATGCCCTCAAAACTATTAAACATAAAAAATTGCACGAATAAAATTCATAATTTAAAATAAAATATCGCAATTGTTTTTTATATGTACATACATATTTACAAAATGAATCTTAAAGCACCCACAGTAAGTCCTAAACATATAAATGACTAATAAGAAAAATAATAAATAACAGTAATATGAAAAAGTATGTCGAGAAATCTCTAAATAGTAGCGAAACTGTATCTCAATAATAACAAATAATTTTTAGCAAAAAATACAACCGATTTCAATGCGCATTTAGGTCGTTCTGGTTACGTAGATCCGACTGTCCTCCCTATTTTTAAATCGTTAAAAAAAAATTAATACGTATTCTACAGAAAAAAGTCAAGATACATATTTAAGGATTTTAAGCAAAAATAAATAAAGGAAAACTTGTTCGTGATATCTCGATTAAGGTGTATTCATGATACAAAAATCTGAAGGTAAAACCGTTGAAAGGCAGCCTGAACATTTTTAAAGTTTGGTAACATTACAAAAATGTTTTCAAATTTTCAATCTCACAAATACATTCTCATTATCAGTTTCAAATAAATGAAAATTTCAATATTTTCATCTATTTGTTTTTTGTTTTACCTTTATTTGGCATTTGAGTTGCTCTCAAAATTTCAATTTTATAAAATAGACAAACTTCAAACTTTTTCAAATAAATTTAAGTGAAAGGTATGAAAATCTGAGAAAAAGTAATTGCTTAGTTTTTATGCATACGGCCCAAGGTGTTATTGACAACTCAGTGCGGCTCTCTTTTAAGATACTATTATGTAAAAATGTAAAAAAATATAAAGAAACGATTCAAAATTCATCCAAATTTTTTTCAATTTGACTTTATAGGATGGTTCTTCTGAGAGCAATGCCAAATTCAATCACACTTTGTTAAATACATTTTGATCTCTACCAAATAATGTACTTCCTCTGTAAATATTTTATGAAGTGTTCCAAAATTCGCTCCGAGCGCGCTACCTGTTGATCATTTGATTTAAATAGTTTGTCAAAGAATTAATACTATAGTTTTGATCGCAGTTAATATATTCTTCAGTATTGAATTATATTATATTAAAACATAAGCTTATGAGAAATTACTTATTCTTAACATGCATATTTTATATCGTGTTCCAAAATTCGCTCCGAGTGCGTTCACTATTGATCTTTTGATTCAAATATTGTTTGTCAAGCATTCAGTAGTGAATAAACTCCGATATATTATTCAGTAATTAATCATATTAAATTGAAATATAAACGTATAATACGGTAGAAAGTTGGAAATTATTTAGTGTTAATATGCATAATTCGCTCCGTGTTCCAAAATTCGCCCCGAGTGCGTTCACTATTGATCATTTGATTTAAATAATTGTTTCTCAAGCATTCAGT